TGGAATACATAGGATAAATTATTGATATCAATGAAAAATGATAATTTCCTAGACATGGACAGAAAAATAAACATGCAAAAACCCTATTAAGTAGACACAATCAACATGTGAAAAAGCATGCAATTCAAAGAGAAATATATCTAGCATGCAGCAAATCAAAACTAAATAGCAATAACATGTCTAGGAGGTTGTCAACATTAAAGACTCTTACTAACTGTTATCTGAGAAATGGGGAAGAATGCTCGTATATATTTTTGGTATTTAAACAAAGTGATGAGTTTTTTTTTTTGTTTCATTTGTTTTGCTGAACATTCTATTGACAACATAAATACCTATTACTTTAAACCCAATAACCCCATTCCTGGGTATGTATCATATGGAAGTAAAAGCCACTGTATATCACTAGGTGTAAGAATGTTTTCATTACAGTCTCCTTCAAAAGACAGCAGAATGACAAGGAAATATCCAAAAAGTATAGAGATGACATCCAATAGGTATTTGTGGTATGGTTAGAACTTGTGGGCCATTGTAGTTAACTAAGAGTAATTTGGCTGTTAAGTTTTGAATGTTGGCCTCAGGGGAATTGTTTATAGACCATCAGGTTCTATATATGCTTTGAAGTTGCAACTAGCAGGATTTGCTGTTGTGAGATGTGAAAGATAAGAGGGGAGCCAAAGACAGAAGCCAAGAATTTAGAGACTCCACCTGTGACATAGGTAGCTGCTACCGTCTCTTTCACTCTCTTACATCACTCAGTCTAAAGCTGGGCATATGTCCCCCCTTGCTGTCCATCACCAGTTGTAGATAAGTTTTCTCCTTCCCCCAACAATGGTCAGTTGTCTTGAATTTCATTACATTAGGTTATACACTCAGCATTGCTTTTGTATAGTCACCTACCACTCCAAGATTCACCTCCTTGGATGATCATGACCAACTTGCAGCTGCTTCCCATTGTCATTATCATAGCAAAATGAAAGACAAGAAATGTTGTATGCTTGGTTCCATGAATTTGTGAAATAATGACATATGTCCTAAGATTCATTTTAAACTGATTACTATACATATGCAAGTTTATCTCATTGCTTTTAAGTTTCAATTCTACCACTTTAACACCAGCCTATATTCATATTTTATACAACACCACATAAAACTTTTTGGTGACATTGGCTATAACATTTGTTAGTACAAATATGCTAGTATAAATTGTTCAAATTCCTTGACCCAGTCTTATAATAATACAGTGTCCTCATTCCACTCCCAACCATTTTCATAGTTAAAATCTCACAGGAGACTATTGCTTTGAACAAACTACTTTATTTTTCAGAGATTTCAGTGAACAGGCATTCAGGGCTTATAAGCAGAAGTTTGTGTGCTCAAAATCAAAAAGGAATTTTAAATCTTATTTTCACCTTTTTGTAGGTAATGGAAGAGTCTGACAGAGATTGTCTTTCAAATTTTTTATTTTGTCACTTAATTTACCTACTAGATTTATGATATGAAAATGTAAGAAAATATTATTTCAGAGATAAATGGTGGCTTTAATTTCCCCCCAATTATCATTATTTTTCTGATTTATTTAGTTTTATAGAAAACACATTGCTTATTTCAATCAAACTAGTAGAGTAGATTTCCTTTTACTTTTTTAAAAATAAAAACAAAAATAAGAAAGAGGGAAGTTGTTCACCAGTATTGCTTTGACCTCCTAGCAATTGATATAAGTAATCAGTTCCCAATTTGTATAATAAGTAATTTAGATGTTTGAGATCTGAGTAATGAATAATGTACACCTTTTAGATTATGCTCTTCCATGGAACTATGGTGAAGGAAATCCCTAGACAGTATATGGTGTTGCACTGTTCTGATTATCTGAGACCAAGCATAATGCTTTTCCAGTTTTATTTAATATTTGTCAGTTTTTAAAAAGTAAATCATGTTTGAGTGGCATCAATCAATGCCACACAGAGCCCTTTATGGAAAATCTTCGTAAGTATATTCTGTATAAATAGTGTTTTCAATCATGGTGTCTGGACATTAGTGAATTTTCAATAAAAAGGAGTTGACTAATGATTATCAGCAATTACTGACTCGTTATTGACACATGAATTACTGATATACTTTTTGCAACAACACTGTGAATACTTATTTTAAAAGACTAGCAACACAGATATTGCCACTTGCGTCATCAGAGTAAAATTAGAGATTGACAGTAGTGACAATGTGTACAAAGCAAATAATGTACTGAATCTTGAAATTCATAGTTTAAAAGCTTGTTTAATGGAGATGATTATGAATGAACAGAGTCAGAGGCATCACATTACCTGACATAAAATTATACAACAAGGCCACAGTAACAAAAATGACATGGTACCGATACAAAAATAGGTACACAGACCAGTGGAACAGAATAGAGTCCCCAGAAATATAACCACATATCTATAGCCAACTCATCTTTGACAAAGGCTACAAAAGCATACATTAGGAAGAGAACACCCAATTCAATAAGAGGGGCTATAAAAATTGGATAGCCTGTGCCAGATATATAGATGTCAAATATTTTCTCTCATTCTGTGAGCTGTCTTCCCACTCTCATGATGTTTTCTTTTACTTTGCAGAAGCTTTTCAGTTTGATGAGGTCCTGCTTGTCTATCTTATCTCACATGGCATGGGTTTTTGGGGGTTTGATCAGTAATTGGTTGCCTATTCCAATTTCAATAATGGTGTCTACTGTGTTTTCTAAGATTCTTATAATTTGAGGTTTTATGTTTAGGTATTTGATCCATTTTGTGTTGATTTTTGTGTCTGGTGATAGGAAGGGAGTCCTGTTTCATTCTTCTGAATGTGGTCAGCCAAAACAGCATATTTCTGATTAAAAAACAAAACAAAACAAACCGGACACATAGACCAATGGAGCAGAATATAGAACCCAGAAATAAAGTCACTGGCCTGTAGTCAACTGATCTTTGATTAAGTTGACAAAAAAAAAATTGTGGAAGTAATGCCCTATTCAATAAATGGTATTAGAAAAACTGGCTAATCATATGCAGAAGAATGAAACTGGACTCCTTCCTCTCATCATATTCAAAAATTGACTCGAGGTTGATAAAAGACTTAAATGTAAGACTTCAAACTATAAAAATTCTAGAAAAAGGCCTAGGAAACTCTCTTCCAGACACTGGCCTAGGTAATACATTTATAACAAAGCTCTCAAAAGCAAACACAGCAAAAACAAAAACTGACAAGTGGGATCTTATTAAACAGAAAAATCTTTGCACAGCAAAAACCAATAACAAAACACAAAAATAAACAAACAAAAAAACTATCAATAGAGTAAATAGACAACCTACAAAAGGGAAGAAAATATTAGCAAAATATGCAACAACAAAAGACGAATATACATAATTTATGAGACTTAAACAAATTAACAGAAAAATAGCAAACAACACCATGAAAAAGTGGGTAAAAATGGAAACAGACAATTTTCAAAGGAAGTTGTACATGTGTCTAGAAAAAATATGAAAAAATGTTCAGCATCATTAATCATTAGAGAAAGTGGAAATCAGAACAACACATCATTCCGAGTGGCTATTTTTCAAAAGTCAAAAAACAACAGATGCTGGCAAAGGTGCAGAGAAAAGGAAATACTCAGACACTATTGGTGGGGCTGTAAGCAAGTTCAGCCCTTGTTAAAGCAGTTTGGAGATTTCTCAAAAGAACAAAAATATTTACCATTCAATCCAGCAGTCCCATTCACTACTGGGTATATATTCAAATGAGCATACATATTTCTATTAAAAAGCCACCTGCACACATGTGTTCATTACAGCACTATTCACAGTAGTTAAAACATGGAAAAAACCTAGGTGCTCATCAACAATGGACTAGATAAATAAAATATAGTACATATATCCCATAGAATACTACACAATCATAAAAAGGAATGAAATCACATCATTTGCAGAAATGTGGATGCAGCTAGAGGTCATTATTCTAAATGAATTAACACAGAAACAGACAATACCACATGTTCTCACTTATCAGCCAGAGCTAAACACTGAGTACACAAAGACAAAAAGATGGGAACAACAGACACTGGTGACTCTTAAAAAGAGGAGAAGGAGAGAAGGGAAAGGGTTAAAAAACTACCCATTGGGTACTATGCTCATCATTTAAATAATGGACTTAATAGAAACCCAAATCTCATCATCATGCAATATATCCATGTAACAAGTTTGCACATGTACCCATATACTCCTTGAATATAAAACAAAATCTAAAAAAATACAGATGCTAGCCAGGATGTGGAGACAAGAGAATGTAGGTACATTGTTATGTGGGAATTTAAATTAGTGTATCTATAGAAAACAGTATGGAGGATTCTCAAAGAACTAAAGATAGAAATACCATCACTGAGTATCTACCCAAAGGAAACAAAAACCATCATATAAAAAGGTGCTTGCACACGTTTACTTATAGTAGCACTATTCACAATAGCAAAAGTATGGAATTAACATTGTCTATCATGGATGATTGGATATAGAAAATGTGGCACATATACACCATGGAATACTAATCATTCATTAAAAAGAATGAAAACATGTCTCTGCAGGAAGATGGATGAAGCTGGAGGCCTTTGTTTTAAGTTAAGTAACTCAGAAATAGAAAATCAAATGCCATACACTTTCACTTATAAGTGAAAACCAAACAATGGGTACACATGAATATACAGAGGGTAATAAAAACACCAGAGACTCTGAAGTGTGGAAGGTGGGAGGGAGCCAAAAGTTGAAAAACCCACCTATTAGGTATAATGTTCATTATTGGAGTGATGGATGCACTAAAAGTCCAAACTTTACCATTATACATTACATCTATGTAACAAACCTGCACATGTACCTCTGAGTTTAAAATAATTTTTAAAAAGTTAAAAAAATTGAAAAAAAAGACTAATAGCTGCAAATTAGAGATGGTGTCTATCATTAAAAGAAAATAAGTGCTAGCCTTTACTTCTTGCTGAGCCTTCCCTTTATTAACATCCTCAGAGCTACCTTCATGGCCTTGTTTCTTAAACTGTATATGATGGGATTAAAGGTTGGGGGCATCATAGTGTAGAACACAGAAATTACAACATCAGAAATAGAAGGAGACTCTGAAACTGGCTTCAGATAAGCAATGAAACCAGTGAGAAGAAATAGTACAACCGCCACCAGGTGTGGAAGGCAAGTGGAGTAGGCTTTTGACTGGCCTTCTGTTGAGGGAATCTTCCTGACAGCTGAGAAGATGTAGACATAGGTAATGATGATGAATATCAAACAGCAGAAATCCAAAACCACATTGATGAAGATGGGCACGATTTCTCTTACCAAAGTTTCTGAGCAAGAAATAGCTAATAACTGTGGGATGTCACAGAAGAACTGATGGACCATATTGGACCCACAGTAGGATAAGGAGAATGTGCCAGCGGTGTGCATCACAGCTATCAGACCCCCATACAACCACGACACAGCTGCTGAATGCATGCATGTGTCCCTGTTCATGATGACTTCATAGCGCAGAGGATGGCATATAGCAGCATAGCGGTCAAAGGACATCATGGTGAGAAGGAACAGCTCTGCAGATGCTGAAAAAAGCAACAGAAAAACTTGGGAAACACAGCCAAGAAATGAAATGGAGTTGTTGTGTATCCAAGAGTTGGCAATGGATTTGGGGGCTGCAACTGAAATAAGGCAGAGATCCAAGAATGAGAGATTCTTCAGGAAGAAATACATGGGGGTTTGGAGATGATGGTCCAAAGTTGTAATCATGATAATGAGGACATTCCCCATCAGGGCACACAAATAAATCAACAAGAAGAGCACTGAATGCAAAATGTACATATTTTCACTGGTAGAAAATCCCAAGAGGATAAATTCAGTAACAATTGTGATATTTGTCATTATTGCATGCATAATCTACAGAAGAAAAGGAAATTGGAATAAAACATCAATGTCCACTATGTAAATATTAAGTATATATACATATGTATAATTGTATACTGAAACACACACACACATATGGTATCACTTGTCCACTTACCATGAAAATCATTTCTATCTAGTTCTTCAGTGTATTGATCACCAATCATTTCCTGATTAATTTTGTTATTGAACCAATTTAGTTTCACTTCACTTAAATGTGTCATTGCAATATAGTCCAGATATATCCTATTAAAGGCACTGAAAGATTGAAAATATTCCACTGATCTTAGCAAGACTTAATAAGAAAGTTTTCCTTCCCATCTCTCTTGAAAACTCAAATAGACACATCAATGAATGCTAAATTATGCAGTCTTGCTGTCTCCCCAACCTACCTCATGACTAACATGCCTTGGTTTTGACACACTTTTCAACAATTTAGCAAAAAATTCTAAAATCAAAACTTAAGTATTTCAGACTTTCTTAAATTTATCCTATAAATCTTTCACCTATCAAGTTGTTTGCAAAACATTTATTTTACAGTTGTTCTCACATTTAAACAGTTTTTTCACCTTTAGATTTTTTATTTTAAAATTATGGGGTACAATTCAGGGTTAGGTATACAAATATTCATTGTGCAGTTACACTTATTGATGAGGCATGCTCCCTCTTCCCCAGGCAGTTTCCCACTACTGCCAATTCCACCTCCCCACCCCCCGACTTCCCTGCAGTTTTCCTTTACCGTCAATCCTTTTCTCATGGTATTATGATAGTTGTTCAAGGTCCACTTATGAGTGAGAACATGTGATACAAAGAAGACATACAAGCAGACAACAGATACATAAAAAAATGTTTAGCCTCACTAGTCATCAAAGAAATGCAAATTAAAACTACACTGAGACACCACCTAACTCCAGTCAGAATGGCCATCATCAATAACTAAAAAAATAATAGATGCTGGGGAGGATGTGGTGAAAAGGAAACGCTTTTACACTGTTGGTGGGAGTGTATACTAGTACATCCTCTGTGGAAAACAGTGTGGCGATTCCCAAAAGTTCTAAAAATTGACCTTCCATATGACTCCACAATTCTCCTACTGGGAATATACCAGGAAAATCAAATCACTCTATAAAAAAGATACCTGCACACGTATGTTTTTTTCAGCATTGTTCACAATAAACATTTTTAATAAGAGATTGAGCTGACAATGGTTTATTTACTTCATAATTTGCAATCTTTTCCCTACAGTTCCATAGGATACATACCGATGTTACTATAGGTATCACAGATCCTGCAAAATAAGATCTAAGATTATTGACCTTATATTAATTGAATCACTAGTTTTTCTTTTTAAATCCTCCTTTTGACTATCTTCCCTTATCTAATAAATTGAAATGGTTTTTCTCACAAGATCTTTTTTCTTTTATCCTATCCACAGTTCACTACTACAATACATGACGCTGTATATCACAGTCTTCATGTTTTAATGTCAACCCATCTGCCTGCTCCCTTCCCCTGTGTTTCTCTATCCCTTCCATAAAGTTATTGTAAATGATGTGGCAGGGTAGAAGGATCTCCACAAACTTTTAACAAAATTCAGATGTTGATAGCCTGATGAAATAGTGTAGTTGGTCATTCATAATGCAGTGCGATGTTAGTGCCTTTTAATTGTACAGCTTGCATTCATCAACTTTAATGTAAATATAATGAAATATTAAAAATATACTGTACAAAATTCTCCCACACTTTCTTCTTTAGCTGCTTCTTTTAAATGTTGTGCCCACTGTGTTTTGGTAATGATATAATGTAAATGTTGTTCGTGGAATTTAGGAGAGAAGTGATGAAAAATAATATATATGTATTAGAGGACAAAAATCCAGATATTTTAATAAAAATGAAAAAAAAAGTGTTAGAATATATTGCAACCAGAGATAGAAATATTTTGTGTAATTAAAAAAAGTTCCTAAAAATAAAATTTGATTGAATTAATCTCTGTGATTGTTTAACTTTAAATATTTTGAATTCTTCACTTTACAACATCACTCATTGTTCCTGAGTGACTGAGTAAAAAAATGTTCAGTATTATTAATACATATGTCCTTACCTGTCTCTTAGCCTAAGAAAAATTATATGACTAGAGAATATAGTCTCAGAGACAGTGGTCTTAATGATTCTACCTGACTTAGCTGTCTTTAATGTTTTAGGGACTAAAAAGTATAGCATGTCTTTTAAAAAGACACTTTACATTGTTATTTTTAAATTTAGTTTTAAATATTTTCTCTGATTTATTTCACTTAACATTTAATACATATTCAGCTTACTACACTAAATACTAAAAAACTAAAATACATTACTAGCAGTTTTGGGGCCAAATAATACATATGGCATTACTTTGACAAAAGTTTTGTTTATATAATAGGTAATGCCTCAGTAAACACAGGGTGAATTTACTAAAATGTCCCTCTTAGGCTCCTTAGCTCCTTGATTTTACAATTTTGAGAAGAAAAAACTTAAATTCATTGGAATTTTTGTGTGCATATTTGAAAACTATTGAAAAGTTTTTAAATAGATTTTAAAAATATTCCTGCTGTCTTAGTCAATTGGATTTTTATTCTTTTTATTTAAATGGATGGTAGTGTCAAAATCATGATAGATCTATCCACACTGAAAAAAGTATGTAGTGGTATCAGTTTGGTAAATGTACTTGACAGCAAAGTATAAGTCCAGTTGTTTTTCTCAAATATTTTCAAACCAGTTTCACAAATAGGTATAATTCCAATCTATCAAGCATTTATATTTTTACTTTTCAATTAGACTGATTTTAGACACTGTGAAAAAAAAGCACTTTAAAATTGGTTTTTTCCCCATTTTTCTCTGCATTTGACAGTATACTTTTTAAATGGCGACTTTTATGTCTTTATTCCTCAGACAGTAGATGATTGTGTTCAAATTGGGTGTGATGATGGAATAAAATACAGCAGCCAACCACCCTTGGACAGGAGAATAGTGGGAAGTTGGTCTCAGGTACATGGAGCTCCCAGTTCCATAAAACAGAAGAATAGTTGTTAGGTGAGAGAAACATGTGGAGAAGGCTTTCCAGTGGCCCTGAGTGTGTTGGATCTTGGTGACAGTGGAGATGATGCATATGTAGGAGATTAGGGTGAGGACAAAGGCCCTCAGGATGATACGGCTACTGTATCTGAAACTCAACTCTTCATTTGCATATAGTCAGCACAGGAGAGTCTCATCACAGGAGGAATGTCACAGAAAAAGTGATCGATGACATTAGGCCCACAGAAGGGAAGGGAGAAAGTGTTGATGGCATGGAAAATGGAATAGAGAGCCCCCCAGATCCAGACAGCAGAAACCAGATTCCAGCAGACTTTCCTCATCATTGTGAATCCATAGAGAAGGGACCTATAGTTGGCCATGTAGCGGTTGTAGGCCATAGCCATGAGCAAGAAGCATTCAGTGGCTGCCAGGGTGAAGAACAGGTAGAGTTGTGCAACACACTCTGGGAAAGAACTATCCTGAGAGCCCAACATGGTGCTGGTGATGACTTTAGGCATGATGACTGAAGTATAGCACACATTCAGGAAGGACAAATTCTGTAGGAAGAAATACAAGGGCGTCTGGAGGTGGCTATCTTTGGTAATCACTGTGATGACAAAGATATTCCCCAGAAGCCCAAAGGTGTGAATGATCAGGAATATCCACGTGCAAATGGTATTAACAGTGGTGAAGTCTGAGAAACTTTTAGGATGAATCGTGCTCTGTGCTCTGGTTCCTCATCTAATAGACATGGGAAGGAGTTTTACAAAGAGAAGACATTTTTATCTCAGATGGTATAAACTGTAAGGCATCATGTTGGTAACTCTTGGAAACTAGTTCTTTCTTTCAGAAATACTTTTGTCCACTTTTCTGACATCTATGCACATCTTTAAATAGAATTACCTATTCATCAGCAGAAAAACAAGTCTACACCAGATTTTTACTTCCAATACAAATGATTTGAAATAAAGACAATCAATAACTTTATTTGTACTAGTATTAATAAAAAGGTAAAAGTTATTGAGAACTTTTTTTCTGTGAGGCACTTTTCAAAAAAACTTAATGTGGAAAAATGCTTCGTGTCCTCATAAATATTTTATAAAATAGATACTTAGTTTGGCTCAAACTTTTCTTTAAGTAAATGTAGTCTAGGATAAGTTAAATAATTTGCTTAGGGTTGTAACTTAGAAAAACTGGGATACAAACAAAGAGGCTTTGATCTTAAATGATATACTAAACCCACTCTATTATATAGAAGAGCAAAGCAAATCCATTTGAGTTGAGTATGACTGCTGTAAACATCGTCATCATCGAAGGCATCAGTGTGAAGTTATGCAAGTTTAGCTATCTTTCTATCAGAAGACCAGAGCACATTGCTGACTTTCAGGTCTAGGACACATCACATTATTTTCTTTCTTGTCCCAGGTCGCATGAACTCGATCTAGTTTCTATTCATTTCTTAAGTTTCATCCTAAAATTCCAGTTTCTTGCTCTCAGCTTCACCCCCTCAAAAAAAAAAAAATGTTATAGCATGCCCATGATGCAATAATACAAAATGGACCTAACCTTTTACTATAGACAACTAATAATCTGGAGCAAAATAGATAACATTATGTCAGACATTAGAAGTGCAGGAATGTGCTACTTGAGTGAAAAAAAAAGAGTTAAATCTTACGCTCATCTTTGCTTTAGCCTGGAGGCAATTCTTTGACTATAGGACCAAGAAGTGCAATGCAGTGACCAGCAAGATCACTGAATTGAGAAAACTGGCACCGAAGGAATCTGAGGCAGCTGGCAGTTGTAGAGTAGCATACAGAAAAGGGGAAGTGGGGGGAGTTACACAAAGGGAAAAAAAAATTAGGTCATCCTGTATGGAATAAAACTCAAAGTCAGGAGAGGGAGAACATTGTTATTGCAAGAGGTCACATGAG